AAGAAAACAGATACAAAAAAGGGGGAGAAACCCCCCTCCCACAGGGCTTCGGCCCAGTAGGCCACCAGCCCAACTGGGCAAGGGCCCAGCCGGCCACCCCCCACTCCTCACCTTATCCCCCCTGGTCCAGAAAACCCTAACTGACACCCACGCCACTCTCCTCCCACTCACTCCCCACGTCGCTCTCCCTCCCTCCCCGATCCAGATCTGGATCGGGGGAACGACCCCTTCCGCCGCCCGGATCGACCAACGCCGACGCCGGCGCCCGGAGCTCCTCCGCCGACCTACTTCCTCCTCCCCACCGGACTGCCTCCCCGTCGCCGGCCGTCCCCGTCTTCCTTCCCGCGCCCCACCGCCACTGCCATATGCTCCCTCGGTGAGGCCCCGGCCTCCTCTCTCCCTCGCCCCGCGCTCACCATGGCCCCCGCGCCCAATGGCCGCGCCGTTGGCCATGCCCGAGCTCGCCACTAGCCGCGCCCGCGATCGTGCGTTCGCTGCGCCCCGCCCTCCGGCTCCCGTCGCCTCCCCTGCTCCGGCCACCTTGTCCATGGCCTTGCCCTCCTCCTGGCGTCGCCGCTGGCCGATGGCCGCGTGCACCCCGCGCCTGGGCCCGGCCTCCCCTCTCCTCGCACGCCCCTGCCCATTCGGACACCGCGGCCGGTTCGCGCCCTGGCCGCGCTCGTGCGCGTCCCCGCACCGGCATGCGCCCTCCTGGCCTCACCCCTCTGCGCCGCCTCCGGTCACCGCCCGCGTGCGCCCCCTGTTCGCCCCGCTCCAGCCTTGGCCTCGCCTAGTGCCCCCTGCTCTGCCTCTTGCCGCCACCACCTGCCGTCTCCCATGCCGACCGCCCGCACACCAGCGCCCTGCCGGGTCCGCCCACTCCTGGGCATGCGCCGGCTCAGGCCGTGCCTTGTGCCCGTTAGCGCCCGAACCCGAAAGGCCCGTGGGGCCTATGACAAGCAGACCCCGCCCCGGAACGTTTAAAAAAATAAAAATAAAAATAAAATAAAATAAAAATGAATGAATTAATTAACTTAATTAATCTTGTTTAGTTAACCTAATTAACTATTATTAATTAATTAAACTGTAATCAGATTAGTTAAACCCTAATTAGAGTAAATACAGTATGACATGCGGGACCCACATGTCAGTTTGACCCAGTCAACGCCCTGTTGACTGCTGATGTCGTGCTGATGTCATGATGATGTCAGCATACACTATTCTGGATAATGTTAGAATTAAATAATTAAATAAATTCTAAAAATGATTAAATCTTTTAAAATTAATATAAAACAAACTGTAGCTCGGATGAAAAATACTTTCTACATGAAAGTTGCTCAGAACGACGAGAGGAATCCGGATACGCAGCCTGCTCGTCCGCCACACATCCCTAGCATAGAAACACGCAACTTTCCCCCTCTGGTCCACCTGTCCGAAAATGCGAAACACCGGGGATACTTTGTCGGAAGTTTTCCCCTTTCACCGATATCACCTACTACCGCGTTTGGGCACACCTAACACCGCTCATTGTCTTGTCATACATCGTCATGCTTATGTTTGCATTGTATTTACTGTTTCTTCACCCTCTTCTCTCCGGTAGACTACAAGACCGACGCTACTGTTGCCCAGTTCGACTACGGAGTTGACGACCCTTCCTTCTTGCCAGAGCAACCAGGCAAGCCCCCCCCCTTGATCACCAGATATCGCCTATTCTCCTCTATACTGCTTGCATTAGAGTAGTGTAGCATGTTACTGCTTTCCATTAATCCTATTCTGGTGCATAGCCTGTCATTGTTGCTACATCTATTGATACCTTACCAGCAATCCTAAATACTTAGTATAGGATGCTAGTTTATCATCTGTGGCCCTACATTCTTGTCAGTCTGCCTTGCTATACTATCGGGCCGTGATCACTCGGGAGGTGATCACGGGTATATACTATACATATATACATACTATACAAATGGTGACTAAAGTCGGCTCGGCTCGAAGAGTACCCGCGAGTGATTCACGGATTGGGGGCTGAAAGGACCTTTGTCCCGATGGCCCTCTGTGTGGATCTTTGTGGCGGAGCGACAGGGCAGGTTGAGGCCACCTAGGAGAGAGGTGGGCTTGGCCCTGGTCGGCGTTCGCGGTTGCTTCATAATAACATGCTTAACGAGATCTTAGTATTTGACCTGAATCTGGCCACTAGCCTATATGCACTAACCAACTACGCGGGAAAGATATGGGCACTCGACGTCGTGGTATCAGCCGAAGCCTTCTTGACGTCAGCGACTGAGCGGCGTGCGCCTGATTGGACCGTAAGCCTGCACTTGTATTAAGGGGCTAGGATCTGCTTCCGGCTGCGTACGCAACGTGCAGGTGTGCAATGGGCGATGGGCCCAGAGCCCTGCGCGCATGGGATTTAGACCGGCGTGCTGACCTCTCTGTTGTGCCTAGGTGGGGCTGCGACGTGTTGATCTTCCGAGGCCGGGCATGACCCCGGAAAGTGTGTCCGGCCAAATGGGATCGAGCGTGTTGGGTTATGTGGTGCACCCCTGCAGGGAAGTTTATCTATTCGAATAGCCGTGTCCCTCGGTAAAAGGACGACCCGGAGTTGTACCTTGACCTTATGACAACTAGAACCGGATACTTAATAAAACACACCCAGACAAGTTCCACAGACAACCCGGTGATCGCTTTTCCACAGGGCGATGAGGGAAGGATCGTCGGGTAGGATTGTGCTATGCGATGCTACTTGGAGGACTTCAATCTACTCTCTTCTACATGCTTCAAGACGAAGGCTGCCAGAAGCGTAGTCTTCGATAGGACTAGCTATCCCCCTCTTATTCTGGCATTCTGCAGTTCATTCCACTCATATTGCCTCCTTACACATATACCCATGCATATGTAGTGTAGCTCCTTGCTTGCGAGTACTTTGGATGAGTACTCACGGTTGCTTTGCTCCCTCTTTTCCCCCGTTTTCCTCTTCTTCTCGGATGCGGCAACCAGAAGTTGGAGCCCAGGATCCAGACGCCACCGTCGATGACGACTACTACTCTGGAGGTGCCTACTACTACGTGCAGGCCGCTGACGACGACCAGGAGTAGTTTAGGAGGATCCCAGGCAGGAGGCCTGCGCCTCTTTCAATCTGTATCCCAGTTTGTGCTAGCTATCTTATGACAACTTGTTTACTTATGTCTGTACTCGGATATTGTTGCTTCCGCTGACTCGTCTATGATCGAGTACTTGTATTCGAGTCCTCGAGGCCCCTGGCTTATATTATGATGCTTGTATGACTTATTTATGTTTTAGAGTTGTGTTGTAATATCTTCCCGTGAGTCCCTGATCTTGATCATACACGTTTGCGTGCATGATTAGTATACGATTGAACCGGGAGCGTCACACACAAGCATCTTTGGCATTCGGTGTGGTCCAAAAATGTCACCTTCCGTGTGCCTGATGAGAATTCGGTGTCATTATCTAGGCGGCCGAGGTTATCACCTTGAGTCAATTTTCACCAGAATTTCAGAAATCAGTCAGTTGATTAGGTACCAAAACATGTGTCTGTCTTCCGGTCCAAACGTTTCAGTCATTTTAGTTGGTACACATGAATTCAAATAAGATTCAGAACAACTGTAGAATTTCCTGAAGCTTCGGTTGGATTCAGCCAATCTCAACATTTTGATCCATTGTCCGAAGTGCTAAACAAAAGAACTCGTGAAGCCAATATTAGGGGTGTGCCTCCTGCTCATATTCCTGCTCACTGGAAACTTCACATCCCCCACGGAATTCATGTCTGCACGACTTCACTGAACCTGAATCATGCTCCCATTTTTTTTTTACTGTGTGGTGGCACGATCGATTCGGTCTCTTATTTCTGGCATCGTTGGTATTTCGCTGGGTTCTGACTCTGAGTCGATCGCCTAATGGCGGATAAGTGATAGTAAAAATCGCCGTCTTGAACTTGCTTTGCTCTGCAACCCTGTGGTCTAGTATTTGGGAACCGAGGGATGAATTTTGTTTTCAGGGGAAAAGGGTGGCGCGACATGGCTGTTCTCTGCCACAAGGTGATGATGTACCTTGGGAGATGGCGAGTGCTCTCCAGAGATATGATGCTCACTCGTGGTTGCGTGATCGAAACGGCGAGAAATGCTGAGGACTGCTTGGAGATGAGCCATGTTGACTTGGAGTTCATTCCAAAGGACCAGTGAGAAGTTGCGTGTGCTTCACCAGGATGCCCATTTGCTGGGCGTGCTGCGTGGTCTGGTCTGGATGTAATGACTGAAAACATGGATGCTTTTTGGTTGGAGGGGGGGTGGTCCTTGAAATGTTTGCCAAACTGGGGTTTGAAACGACTGGATCATATCGGTATGGATATATCAATCTGTACCGGCTACATGTGAAAAATGACAAGTACTGTATACATGAATTCATATGCTGAATTGGTGCTGGTAGCCCACTGGCACTGATATTTATATTTTAGATCCTTCTCAGAAACAGGATTTTGTCAGGTAAGTCGGTAAGTGGCACCAAATAAGATTTAATCCGAAGTCAAGTGTTGGATAGGGAAAAATGAGAAGAAGGACGAGGCTTGTGACGCCGATCATGGAGATTTGCAGAGCGAAACAAGAGCGGTGCACCAAGCAACTCGCCGTGTACGACGTAAAGCCACCGCTATCCATCCACTCCGCTGGAACGTCATCAGGCCATACTACACACACGGTAGTAGTGGTGGTGGTAAAGACAGCCACGGCACACAGTTCCCCGATCATCTCACTGACAGCCGTCCTACATCCGGACCTATACGGCTATAGTACCTGCACCGCTCTTAGCACATCCGCATTTATGGTCTCGTGACACGCCACGTACAAGGATCCATATAGATATAAATAGTTGTGCTGCCTCGACCTCGATCGATCTCTAAGTTTCAGATGATATCAAAATTCTTCAGAAAGTCTCGCTGTCTCAGGTGATCGAAACACCGATCCACGACAGTAAGGAGGGAAGAATCAAGAATGGCGGATGATGACCAGCAGTGGAAGATCCCACCCAACGTGCAGGAGCTGGCGGCAGCTGGCCCGGAGGAGCCGCCGAGCCGGTACGTGGTCCGCGACCATGACCGCCCCGCGCTCGCCGGCGCTGGCAGCGACGTCACGGACCCCATCCCCGTCGTCGACCTCGGCCGCCTGTCCTCCGGCGACGCAGACGAGGCGGCCAAGCTGCGGTCCGCCCTCCAGACCTGGGGCCTCTTCCTGGCAAGAAAACCAACACCACCTTCTCTGCTTCCTCTGCCTCTTCTTGCACCGTTTTACTTTCATCTCCACCTGATCGAATGGTCTGATGATCGACGTCCATTGGTTTCTGGATTTCTGTAGGCCGTCGGGCATGGGATCGAGCCGGCTCTCCTGGGCGAGATGATGGCCGTGACGAGGGAGTTCTTCAACCTCCCGCTGGAAGAGAAGCAGAGGTACACCAACCTGGTCGGCGACAAGAAAGAGTACAGGATCGAGGGGTACGGCGGCGACATGGTCCTGTCGGAGACCCAGGTCCTGGACTGGTGCGACCGGTTCTACCTCGTCGTGGACCCGGAGTCGCGGCGCCTCCACGACCTCTGGCCGACGCGGCCGCCCTCCTTCCGGGACGTCCTGCACCGGTACTCCGCGCGGTGCAGGGAGCTCGCCGACGCCGTGCTCCGGGAGGCCGCCGGCGCGGCGGGGCTCCCCGACCAGGGGCGCCTGGCCGACATGCTGGACGAGAAGGCCGTGACCTACGTCCGGCTCAACTGCTACCCCCCAAGCCCGCGCCCCGACCGCGTGCTCGGGTTCAGGCCCCACTCCGACGGCGGCGCGCTCACCGTCCTCCTCGCCGAGACCGCCGGGCTCCAGGTGCGCCGCGACGACGACGCAGGCGGCGGTGGATGGCACGACGTGCCCGTGGTGCCCGGCGCGCTGGTGGTGAACCTCGGGGACACGGTGGAGGTGGTGAGCAACGGGGTGCTGAGGAGCCCCGTGCACAGGGTGGTGGCGGGCGCGGAGAGGGGGCGGGTGTCCATGGCGATGTTCTACACGGTGGACCCGGAGAGGGAGGTGGAGCCGGCGCCGGAGCTGGTGAGCGAGGAGAGGCCGAGGCGGTACGAGAAGACCAAGAAGAGCGGCGACTACGTCAGGAAGCTGCTGGAGAGCTTGGCGCGAGGGGAGCGGGCCATCGACAAGGTGAAGGTCGTCTGATCGAGCAGCTTTGATCCACGGTTCGCTGCATGCATGCGCGCGCGGTGGGCATGGTGGCTAGTTGACGTGCACTGTGCACACTACTTACTTTACTTTTTTTTAGGGGCACGCTTTACGTACGGTAAAATATATGGGTCTGGCAATAAGCTACTCCAGTAGCCGGTTCAAAAATACGAGTAGTAATTAAGCTAGTCGCCTCGAAAATAAATATCCTTTTCGCCGCCGTCTTCCTCCGACCCTTTTGTTGCCTGCTGTCGCCGGCCAGACCGTCCTCCTCCGACGCCCACATCCGTTGCAGCAGGCACACCGTCTCGTCACACCGGCCACGCCTGCGCCACCTCCGTTCCGACCGTGGTTTTTTGAAATAAATAACAACTTTCGGGTAAAAGAGGCAGCTGGGGCGGTGTTAATGGGCCGGGCCCGCGCGGTAGGAGCCCCCCTCCTTCAAGGGATTTTTAGGATCGTTCAGGCTATATATATTTAGTGTATTTTCGCTCGGGATACGGAATACAAAATTAAAAAACGCAAAAACAATAGAGGAATCTCACCCCCTTCTTTATCATAAAGAAAAGATATATTTTAAAACTTATTTAAAAATTTTGCGCGAGAAGACCCTTGACTGAGGAGACATGTTTGGCTTGGATGATGCCGCTATGCTCCTATTCACTTTCACAGACCGCTCTGAGTTTGTCGGTTTTGCGGCAACCCTTTCACTAAGAACATGTAGTAGGGTTCCAATTCAAAGTAGTTTTTAGCCGCCTTTGTTTCTTATGTACCTAGTGTGTCTTTCCCAAGGGAAGTAAATGGATCTTTCACTTGTTGTATTGGTTGGGAGAGCGAGGCAACGAGCGAATAAGAGACGAGTGAGAATATTAATTCCAATGGCTTTTGCTATAATAACCTTCCCAACCACGATTTTTTTATTCCACCGCCAATTAAAAGAAGATATTTTCAATTTTTGTTATAGCCCTTGCGGCTGTTAAAGCCGCTATTGGACTATCCATTCTTTCTTCCATCCATCGTAATAGGAAATCCACTCGTATCAATCAATCTAATTTATTGAATAATTAGACACTCCACGTCGCCTTCAGGCTTGGATCCATGCCTTGCATCTTCTTCCTTCTCAGGAAAGAACTCAGATTGTTCAGATTCTTTGCCAGGAGAGTCCTCGGCTTTCAAGCCCTACTCGTGGAAGCCCCGGCTAACTCCGTGCC